GCAGAACGTGCAGGATTCATATATTGTCTTTTTGCGGCTTAATATTCACAGACACTAGTCCATATCACGTTTTGATTCAAGTGTACTGACCTACTTTTGATCTATTCATCCAAAATGTGGCATATTCTGTGACATTCCGCATTATAGGAATTCTGTTTTTATGACTGGATTCTACAAACCAGTCTGTGTTTTCCACATCGCGAAATCATAGGGCCGTATGTCTCATATTTTAGAGTAGTCAGTGCAATTTGGGAAAGAAATTAATTAAATCTGTATGTGGATGTGTGTAAATATTCAAATGTAATCCCTTTTGTAATCGTTAACATTTTCATAAGTAACTAATTACACGTTTTCTTAGTAGCTGTAACTGATTAGTTACATTTATTTTGTAATTAAATTACATAACGCCATTACATGTAACTAGTTACTCCCCAACACTTATGATCTAGTGTCAAGCGCAGCACTAAGATCTAGTACAGTAATGGGCAAACTTGGCCCTTCCTGCAGATTTGATCCAACCCTGATATGACTCACCTGCCTGTAGCTTTCTAGTACTCTTGAAGACAATGATTAGCTGGTTCAGGTGTGTTTGATTGGGGTTGGCACTAACCTCTGAAGGAAAGTGGCCTGGAAGGGCCAAGTTTGCCCACCCCTGATCTAGTAGTACCAGCACTGATATTTTGCCAGAATCAGAGTTAAAGCGAATATCATTTGATGAAAACCTAAAAACTGATTGGTGAACGAAAACATTGGTTTTCCCTATACATGCCTATTTTCTTTCTTTTTTTTTAACTTAGTCCTGGCGTCCTCTACAACGGACATAGAATAAAATATGAATAAAACCACCAAATAATACACTAGCAATCACCCAGAACACCTAAGTAACTGCATAGCAGCCAAATAGCAACCATAAGAGTATTAATTTTCTGTCATTTCATCCATACTGTTGATAGACGGCATGGCCTTAAAACCTTAGTACTTCAAACTAAAAACCTTAAAACGTCAAGCTTTATTTCAAACTAAATATGCTTTCTCAAGCCAACTTCAAAGTTTGTCTTGACAAACTTTAGTTGATTCTGATTGGCATAATGCAGCAATAAGTTGCCAATATTTCTAAATTATAACCAGGGCAACATAGACAAAATTCACCACAACAACGGGTAAAACTTTTTCTAATGGCTTATTTCCCCCTAAAATTATCAGCATGAACATTTTTGTAACTTAAACTACTGACTTTAACAGTTTAACATTTTGTTTAATAACCCCTCTAAATTTAGGCTAAAACATACTCCGATTAAAACTGCCAGAGAAGCTTTTCACTTAAATTAAACATACTTGTACAATACTACCTCATTCTGAAACAATCAGTAATACAACTTCAATAAAACGGTATAAAATAATTTATTGGGATCCAAAAAAATGCATGTATAAAAAGTAACAAAATGACGTAAAACATACATTTAAAAAAAATAAAAAAAAAGAAAAAAAAAAAAGACTAAAAATCTTCACTAAACATTCCTCACACACAAGAGATTGTATAAAAGGGCGCTGTCATTTTCCTCTTCAGTACTAAATGACACCAAAAGCCTGGAACACACAGAGAGAACTCATTAAAATGTTACTGTTTATTAGGCACTATATACTTTTTAAATGTAAACTTGCACAAAAGTAGAACAGTGTCACATTTGAATGAAACCTTGATAGGTTTCAAAGACTTGGTCTTTCCCCACTCAAAGACTAAGGAGCTGTACAAGCATGCATGACTATTACCTACATAGAAAACAGCTTTTCAAAATAAACTACCAAAATGCCCACTGGGTGAATTTGGTGCTACAGAAGACAAAATAGACTTTTATAACCTATTATATAATATGTAAATACATAATGTTAATGTATGAATACTGCAGAATTAATGCATCCATTATCAGTATTCCAATACTCTTTGGTCCAATAAATGTGGACTTTTCCATAACCCTTCCAGTAATGCAATTACAAGACAAGAAAAAAAAGAGAAAACTGGATTTCCACCCAGTATCATGTTAGCAAGCTATAGTGTTGTAGCTGTGTTGTAGAGCTCAAGACAAATGCAAAATTCTGCATTTCTTTTTGGAACTGACTGATCAGAGCCCTTTTTGGTCTGAGCTTATGCACATCAGTTTTTGAGTTAACATTGCCAAAATTATCCACAAATAATGCTTTTTTCACTCAAAACCTAAGGTACATAAGCTCAGGCCTACGACTAATCAGTTCCAAAAACAAATGGAAAACCTGTTCTAATTGAAAGAAAACATGCAGACAAAAAAAGACTGAACCCAAGATTTGTTGATAATATAGCATAGAGAGATTTACAAGCAGTTTTTAAAAGGCCAGCTATTTTTGACCAGGAACACCAAATTATGTAAAGGTAAAATTTAATTTATCATCACTCTCAGATTAAATTACTAAAATCAAATCACAGATTCAATTAATTTAAGATCTTACAATTCTTACTCATGTACAACTTAGCAAGGTTACATTTCACATTTGCTAGTTTAAACTGTTGCATGCTTGCAAGTCATTAAATATGCATGCATATATATATATATA